GAAGACTGAAATCATGTTATGAGCAGCAAAAATAATGCTTATGCCTATTTGTTGCTTGAGCTGTGTATCTCGGCCCGGGCAGTCGTGGATCCGCTGATACGGTATCCAGGATCTGCCCTATCCGTCCCGGTCTCGGATCCCACACCAGCTGTTCGGACCGCTACTCGGCGCCCAGTGATGTCAGATGACGCGAGATGACGTGGCGCCGCTGCGTGCCGGCGCCCGCGTGCGCAACACGCGTAATAGACACCTCCCACGGCGCCGGGGCCGGTCGGCCGCGCAACTGTGGCCGCGGGGTCGCCTGGGGCCCGACCGGGACGCTCCCCGGGGCTGCCGCGCCGCCGGTGGGCTCGGGAGGTCGGAAGGGGGCCGTGGCTGTCGGCAGGACTCGCAGCTCCTGCGGCGGAGGACACGCCGGGACACCGCCCGCACAGCTGGGCACGGCCGCCCCCGCCGGCGGGCGGCGGCCGCTCGCCGGCCGGAGCGTTTTTATCGCGCCCGCTCGTATACCGCCGGCCGACCCTCGCCGGGCGGTGGCTCGGGCGGGGGCGGGGGCGGGGGCGGCGACACGCCCCCCGCCGGACCACACCTGGTCGTAGACAGGGCGCTGTCGGGTCAGCTGTGCTCTCCAGCCTCCAGTGACCGCGCGGGGAGCGGCGCCGCCCCCGCCCGCGGCCAGGGATGACGTCAGGACTGATGAGAAGAAAGCCGTCCGGACGTGTCCCTCGGGTCTCAGGGGCGGAGCCCGCCGCACTGATGGGAGACAGCGGGGGCAGGGCGGCGCCGCGCCGCGACCACCTCCGAAAACACCTGTCGACGTTCGGGCGGGCCCCGTCGCGCGGACCGCCGGTCCAGCGCCGGCTCCGGCTCCCCGGGGCGTCGAGACGGCGCCGACGATCGCTCCCACAGCCGGCGCCGCAGCTGGCGGCCGCTCAAGAAACCAAGCTATTTCCGAAAAGGTCGTAATTTAGCGCCGGTCCGAAATCGAGAGCCACTCGCGCCGCCGGTGGGTAGGATCATCCGTCGGCATTAAGCGCTCATCAGAGGCGGCTGAGTAAAACAGAGGCGCTGTTTTCAGAGGAAACAGCGCCGAGACGGGCCGGAGCGCGTGTGCGTCTGAAATAATATCGGCGCTGCGGATCAGCCGACGGCTTCATTCCGGACTAGAGTTCGCCGCCCGACCGCAGCTGCCGCAGGAGCAGGCAGGATTGGGAAACGGGCGACCCGCGAATCTGGTCCGGTTACTGTCCTGCGAATGTGACATTCTCCTCCGAGTTAGATCGTGTGAGATGGCCGGTCCGACGCGTGTTAACCTCGTTCAACCGCGGCAAACAATATGCTGCTGTCAGTTTTTTACCTGTCCGCTGGCACTGCTTGCCACTAGAAGATCAACATCGCACCCGGTGTCGGAGCGATAGGAATCGAGCGCTACGGCAGCTGCCAGAGGGCTCCTGCGACAGCCGGCATCTGCTACCAGTTGATACCCTGCTGATACACGCCCGATTCACCGCGCAGTCAACGCCTCCATTCTGGCCCGCGATGACATTGCCGCTGTCGGCCAAATAGATTACCATCGACGAAACTACGCGTGCGGAATTCTTTAATTGGAAAAAGTGGTAATGTGAGTGAAGTAACTCTATTGAAATGGCTATCGCCGTTGATGAAGTGTCAGATCTAATTTTGTAAATGTTTTAGGTGAATGCATTGTGACCAGCTATTCAGCTATCCAGTGCGCGCTTCGCATCGCCGCGGCCATCCGTATCGACGCAACTTGATCGAATTCTTCCCACTTGCAATAACAGCATTTTTAGTCTTTTGCGGACAATATCAATCACTGCACAAATCCCTGCCTTCAAGACGCCACCTGCTCTAAGTGTCGTTAGTGCGTACACTTTCGTCGCGCTCCTGTAGCTCCACCGCCGCAGCGCGCCAGTCCGCCCCAGTTGCGCCCATTCCTCTCCGAGCCACCGATCCATCACCGGTGAATCGGTGGTCTGCCGAGAGCGTACACACTGGAGAGCCGATCGGGCTCCTCCCGGCCGCCGCTGAATCAATCAGCGGTGATTCAGAGCGGCCGGGGAGCACGCTGGGTGTCGGCCAGGTCACACAGGTCACACGCCAGACCGTGGTGACGGAAGGCGGCGGCGGCGGCGGCGGCGGAGGCGGTAGCGGCGGTCAGGGATTGATTGGCACTGCCTTCAGCCATTTACGGTCTCGCTGGATTGACACCTTAGCAGAACACTTACATTGCTTTTCAATTCTGACACTGCTTCCGTTTCTGCCATCGTCCGGCATCGCCCGCCATCACCGCCGCCTCTCCCTTCCGCCGGCGCCTGGGCCTGGGCACACTGCTACACGGGCCACGGCCTTTCAGTGCCGGCCAGAGGCGTTTGTTCAGGCTCGATGCCACTAATGCGTTGGCCGGTATTTTAGGCTCGGCTGGCTGATGTGGCGAACTGAGCGCACTGGCGGCCGGCGGCGCCCTCAGAGGCACTGGGAGGGTGGGCCTGGCGCCCGCCGCCGCCGCCGCTCATAATGACCCGTCATGACCTCTTAGCGCGATGAGAGGGACCAGCTGTGAACACTACAGCGGAAGAAACTGGATGAGGTGTTGCACTTTTTAGCGACATGACGAGGCGAAAAAGCTGCTCTCGCGTCACGCCGTAGCGGTGGAAGCAGTTCGAGGTTTTGGGTGACTCATTCTCAGAACTGCCCCAAAATATCTGCGTTAGCCGTTATTTATCGTCGCCTTAGAATATCACACCGCTCGTAAGTTCCCTCCGGCGTCTAGCTCCATGGCTATTTGTCACAAATCCTGGCATAGGTTGTGCCACGTCGCAGTCACAATATTATTCACTCACAAATAGTGAAAACTTACTAAGATACAAATTGAATCCGATACCCTGTTGAAAACCCATAAAAACCAAACCAAACTGAGAAATGTTTGGCTAATAGGTGTCATTGCTGAAACCACAAAAACATGTGCAGCATCATCCCAAATTATTTTTTGGCACAAAGTTCGTGTTTATACCTAATCAGTAATCTACACCACACCCAACAGCATAAAGTCGGGCGTCGGTGACCGCCTGTCCAACACTGACGTACGACTGGGAATTGTTCGACGCACGCATTACACACCTCAGTAGGGGATGGAATGGGAACTCGGCGGGGAGGCGGCCGGTATACTTCGAACACAGACGAGACAGCCAGAGCTCGTCCATACAACAGTGATGACCCCACCAGGTACTCGGTGTATTGACTCACTCCGTACAATGCTCCAAATCTATCGGCTGGCTCCGAAGAAATAGCGGCCAGCTCTGGACAGTGATGGCTTTTACAGCTGCTTTCTCCTCAGATGAAACGGGGCCTGCCAGTCACGACTGATACAATATCATCGTGGCTCGGAATTCTGAGCTTTGGAGCGGAGTCAGTCCTCGGTGCATGACTCACCAATTGACCAATTTGAGCGCATAACTGGCGCCGGTTGGACTTTTAGCCTTGGTCTTGGAATACGCCGAGTCATTGTTCTTTTCAATTTTAATGCACATTCGGCGTGACGCTAAAATCACACGATATGAAATTACAATTTTCATGATTTTAACATCCCCAGAAGCCAAGAGTAGGTATGATGGGAATAAAATGGCCACAAACATCTTAAAGGTACACTACATAATTCATAAACGCTAACAAGCACGCGTTGGCCGCAGAGGCAATAGGATCACCGTATCAATCACGATGATGGTAAAAAGTATACACGACTTGACAGACTCCAAGATAATAACACAGTTTGCCAGAGACCGCAAGCATTGACCCAATCGGAACATCTCTGCGCTGGGATAAAATGTCCCACAGTGACCTTGCTGGGTGCTGCAATCAAAAACCAAAACACCGCGGCAAAGATCGTGCGATTCCAGGAAATACCCACGATTTGCTGGAAATCAGCACTTCCAAAGATCATACTGCCCTCGGATATAAAAATTCTCTGATAAGCGTGTTAAGCTTGGATTACGACTGTCTGCAAGATACTGGTACGTGTTGCTGGTTTTTAGAGCTGAAAAACTGGCCGTGTGTCACTACCAATGTCCGCGCCCATCAAAATCGCATAACAAACGCCAGAAGACCAGTGTGCAGCAAAAAAGGGCAAAGAAGTGGCCTTATCACCAAAAACCCATCAATGTTAACATTTATCACTCGATTCCACTGTTTAATTATCAATGCTAACTACACGAGCTGAAGAACCCTGTAAGCTTCCTGTTGCCCCCATCAATACCGCCTTGGATGACGGCAGGCACCAACTGTGTGAAGTAACGTCCCATTAAACGTCACTGAGCTAAAGTTACCGGCCCCGGCGAGTGGGTTGGTTCGGGGCAAAAACCACATACCGGGAGCACTTGGCAGTCACTGATCACCGTTAGCTGGAGCATAAAACGATCACCGAACATGCAGTTGCTTCAAACCGCTTCAAATGACGATGGTGGAGTACCCGCTGAGAGGAAGACATTCATTTTATTTTGCATTATTTATTGGTGCTAAAACCCACGTGGACGGTAAAAAATGTTATTATCTCATTACAAACTATTATCAGGGAGCGTGCTACCTAGTTTATTGAAAAGAGAGTAACATAATCGACCAGCAAACAAAAACAAACATCGGTTGTAATCGACGAATTCAAAGGCAGAGTTTGTCAGAAAGCAGTACCTGACAGAAAAGAAACTTTTGAAAATGACGAGCCATCTCGACTTGTTACCACTCAATCGGTGTCGACATGAACGGAACGCCAATCTGAAGCGGGGGCGAGACCGGGCAGCGGCACTGCTGTTCGGGCACCACCCAGGCGCCGGACAGGCTTTCTTTTCCAGGTAGGAGCGCGGCCATCTTCCCCATGCCCACGTAGTTCGTGTTCGGCCCCGTGCCGTGACGTGAGGTCGGCCGGCGGGGGCGACCGCTGGTTTCCCGCCTCCCACGCGGGCGTCGGCGCACAACAGACACACACCAGCTGCTCTGTGAGACTGTGTATTGCTCCCATTCAACACCTCCGGCTGTCACACAACACAGACGGATCGCCCGGTCAGGTCACAGGGCGCCCGCCGCCCCCGCCCCGCCGGCCACCCAGGTGAGGCGGGCGGCCCCGCGGCGCGCTGACGGCAGGCGGCGCGGGGCGGCGGCTCCACCCGAACACCAGCCGGCCTGACGCCTTATGAGGCCGGCGCGGCGCCAGCGCCGCCCCCGCGCCGCCTTATTCGGCACACGGCGTCCCCGACGCCAGCATGGAGGCCCTCCGTCCGCTGACCGGCCACCTCGGCGGCCTCCCGCTCCTCCCAGCTCCGCTCCCAGTCACCCCGACTCGCCCTCCCGCCCCGCGCTGTCTCACCGCACGAACCCCTTCCCCGGCTTCGGCCGAGAGTAGATCTTGGCCTTCTTGGCCTTCTGTTGCTCGTCGTGAACGAACGCCGCGCCTCCGCCGCCGCCCCGCTTCCTGGCGCGGCCCTCCTTGGCCGCGTGCGCCTTCAGCTCCACCGCCGGCGGCACGGTGAAGCCGAACGACCTGCCGACGCTCTTCAGGTCCAGCTGCTCGATGTCGAAGATGGACTTGAGGCTGTGCGAGTTGTAGGCGTGGACGTAGGCGCGGAACGCCTCCTTGGCCGACTGGTTGAGGAAGTAGTTCTTGGTGATGAGACGCTCCAGCTGTAAATGATTGCACACGGGTTAATGGAGTCGGCACAACTGCAGACTGGAACCGGAGGCGAAGAGAGGACGCCGGAGATGGAGACAGAGGAGACAATTTCCAGGTGTCGTCATTGATTTCATTGATCAGACCAGGTCATTGGATTCAGCGGAAATACTCTCCATAAATTTACGTGTCGCAATTGTTTGCTCAACATTCCCTCTTCCAAAGGTCCCACATGTTCTCTCTTTTCACGATCAACACCGAATTTCCAGCCTCAGAACACGCCAAATAGCCCGGCCGTGTCAGGAGGGGACGCTATTATTAATGACCTAAACGACCCCGTTAATTTCTCTACCCGCCCGACCCACGACACACAGCGGTGCGTAGATCCTTCACACGGACACCGCGCTGCCTCCATTTATCGTCGGGTGCGCACACAGGATCGTCAGTCCTCGTCTCTCCTGGGTAAGTGAGACACCCCGACAGCTGGGCGCAAGGTTCCGACTTCCGCCAGCGGACACAGAGGGTAATTGGATGGTGTTAATTTTACTAACTACCGGGTAGACTGCTGTGAGTTTCGGTCCATTAGGGGAGCTCTCATGCGTGACGCGGTGACAGTGACGGTGGAAGAAACAATGGCAGCAATTGGCAGCGGTGGTGACGGTGGCAACGATGTGACAATGACGGTGACAGTGACAGAAACAGTGTAGTGGTGGCTGGTGACGAGACGGTGACATTGGCGGTGATGGTGGCGGCGGAAGTAAGCATGTAGTGACGGCTCTGCCAGTGAATGTGGTAGTTACGTTGGCAGTAGCAGTGACGGGGACAGATTTGAGGCTGTGGCGGCGATGCTGACAGTATCTTTCTCTCATCGTCCCAGAATCTCATCTCATCCCCATCATCCCCACCAACCCCACCATCCGGCACTGACGTCACCAAACGACCCCGCTCCCAATCGCCGGTCACAACAGTGCGCGTCTCCGCTGATCCGGAGATCGGAGCGGCGACCACAACACCGGCGTCCCCGCTCCGTCTGATCATCAGTCGCCCGCCAAACCCTGCGTCCGCGGCCGCCACATCCGCCCATCAGCGGACGGAGAGACACCGAGGAACACGGACGGAGGCAGTCCTTCCCTCAGCCGCGTCAACAGCCCGAGGCACAGAGACGCCGGCTCCTCATCGGCTCTTGGTGCTTCACCAGTGACACCTCGGTCATGGGTGGAGCCCGTCACAGGAATGTCGCGGGATGAGATGCTATTTTACCCGATTGCATTAGATTATCAAGTTGCCTTACTGTTTAGTGTAGTAATTTTGTTCTGACATTGCTAACGTCAATTTCAGGCAATTTAGGGTCGGGCAAGCAGCATTCCAGAACTAAAGCAAATAAACGGAGAGAAAGAAAGACATGCATAATGGGAATGAGACGAGGTAGGTAGATCAAACCTGTGTTACAAACTCCCCGCACCCACCACCCTCCTAGACCAGGTAGCCGGAGGCAAAAGGTCAGGTCGGTGCGGTCGGAGGGAGCAGCCCCCAACTGGCTGTCTCGGCGCCGACCGACTGATACCGAAAATAAACGGTGATTCAGCGGGACCGGGCGGCGTTACGTGCCGTTCAGATAAATATACGAAGGCCGAGCGGCGGCCGGCTGCGGTCGTCTGTTTCCGCCGCCAGTAGCCGCGTAACTCGTAAACTCGTAACCCGTGCCCGGGCGTGTGTGGCAGGGAGGGAGCGGGCACAGGAGAGCGACCAGCTGCTCCCAGCTCATCAGAGTTCGAGTGAGCGCGGCGGACTGAGAGTGACTGACGGATGCGATTGGGGCAATCTGGGCCGGTCTGATGGGTGTCGGCTGAGCTGAGGGCAGACACCACTTAGCTGATGAAGTAAGAGGGCGTTTATAGACTCCTGTGAGTCGATTCGGCAGTTTGCGGTCGAGGGTTAGACCCCAGGGTGCCGCGTTTGTTCCAGTAAATGATGGCAATTTGGCATGCGATGGGACCTGACCGAACTCATTGACTCAGTTGTTAGCTAAACTACGAGACACTTATCAACTGCCGCAATAAAACTGACACAGCTAGTCCAAAAACAACTCAGACGTAAGCACGTTAGCGTTTGAAACCAGTCTCTCCACAGACTTCGTGTCTGAATGTAATCAAAACAGGGGCGGCCGGTACGCCCGCTCGGCGCCATGAACTGGACCGGATCGGGCCGGGCGGCTCGCAGAGTCACGGCCAATCAACACCCGCTGCCGTGACGGGGTCCAATCAGGCTCTCCGGCAAACCACGCCGGCCTCCCGCGCCGGCAGCCCGAGGGTGTCCCGATTTCCTCCGTCCCGTGCCGCCCGGCGATCACTCAGCAGAGAGGGTCTCTCCGTCACCCACTGACAAGATGGGGCCGCGCACCGGCACCCGCGCACGCACATAACGCAGAGAGTGACAGGGCTGAGGGGTGGTGACCTGAGGACAGGGTGTGGTGGTCAGATGTCAGTGTCAAATGTGAAAGTCGAATGCCGATGCGGGTAATCAGGCTCTCAATCTGCCGTCAATATCGGTGACCTGTCACCAGTAGGAAGTCACTACCGTCCCGCCCTACCCGCCCCGTCAGCGCCCTACACAATCTCCCGTCTCCGCGGCCGCCACCAGTCAACACGCATGATTTACCACGGCGCGGGCGGAACAATTGTCTCGGTTCGTGTTTTAATTGGCGAGAAAGGCGGCGGCGGCGGCAGCCGGCCGCCGACGACCCGACAAAACCTGCCGACCGAGCCGGCACAAACAGCCAACTGGTCCCCCCGGTGCGGGTTGGGTAACAATGCCGATAGTACCGCGGCGCTGCCGCCTTCAGGGAGCAGCACGGGCCGCGGTGCACTCGGCCAGAAAATGGCAAACCGGATAACTTTCCAACTGACAGACTGGTGGGGTTTCAGGGATAAAGGCGCATACTTGTTACTGCTGAGTGGGATAAGGCACCAATGCAATTAAGATGTTTGCTGCGTGAGTGGGGTCCGTAACAGCAAAACGAGGCCAGAATCAATTCAAGCTCAAAGAACAGCTCTGCGGCAACCGACAATGAACTCCCAGTCATATGGGGCTTGTTCCCAAAAACAACAGAAAACAAGACCACAGCTGAAGCATTCACTAAAATAATGGGAAGGGTCTGGACCGAGTAGAGCCACCAAGTCCGAGTCTACAACTAATCCTAAACCAAAATATCACAAATAATTAACTTAGGTGAACAGATAGTCAACAAAGAAAGGTTTTGCATGAAATGTCGCTGAAATATTATACAGCAGCAAACAAGCATTTGGTGCGGACGCTAATTTTGGCCAGAAGCAGGTCCCAGTTGTTGAGCTGGCGTCTCCCAAATAAGGTACTCGAAGGTGGTCGAACTAACCGGAACGTCGGAAGAGCCCAAAATAACACGTGCCGGCGTCACGCAAGTCTGTACCCACTCCCGTCCGAGCGGGTATGTTACCAAATAAAACACCCGACACATCAGTGGTTCACCCATGTCTCGCCGAAAACATTGCCGTATTAGGATAACGGCAGCATAATAAACAAACAACCCCAATGCTGCACACGCAAGGCTAACCACGTTAACTCGACAACAACTCACTTAATCCCACACAGTATGAAGTCAGCCAGCACATCTCACTCTGATCCGTAAATCGAGACGGGAATAAAATAGACGCCTGCGCCGGCACCCCTGACAGATGGTAAAACAGCCGGCTGGACTTGATTGCACTAGTTGGGATCCGCCCACACAGACAGACAGACAGACACAGCCTTCCAACGGGAGCTCCACTGTCCTTGACCACATCAGGCCGACACATCCGTGGGATGTGGCCTCAGGCGCGGCACGAGTGGCTCAGTGGGGCGCACCACGGCGTCTTTCAGGCCAGCACCAGGTCAACATTTCCGCCCACAAGACGGCTAGAAACACGAACAGAGCGAGCAAGTTAGACCAGACCATCTCGAAGGCACTGGCCATGTTTCTTACGGCCATCAAACGAGCTACGTGGTCGACCCGACCAGTTCTCGGAGAGCCTACATCAAGCGGGCGGTACGGCCCCGGCCCATCACGGGATCAGAGTCGGCGGCTGCAAGGCCGGCCGGTGGTCGGAGGGGGCATCAGTGACGCCGCGCTGAACAGAATGGCCGGCCGCCGCAGCGGCCTGTCGTCTCCACCGCACCTGGTGGCTGCGGAGGCGGCAGCGAAAGAGGGGGACAAATATGCTGAGGAGTTGCCACTAAAATCGAGGGGTATATTACAAATTGTAAAATACCCTGGACTCACTACTGTTTTAATCACCCAGATATCCCAAAAACAACCGGCAAATCGGCGACCTTTTGGCTTCAAATTATCATGGTAAATCTACCGGCAAACCATTGAACATTGCAAACACTTGAACCGCTTGGACATCGTCAGCCACCATGTGCTGTGATTAGAATACAAATCACCAACCCACTGCAATCGGCTCAGTTTGTGTCCCTTTTAGCACCAGTCTCTGCCACAGCCGGCGGGGCGGTATGGCGCGACCCCCGCCGACCCGGCACAGCCCAGTGGCCCCCTTTGAAGGTGCTCCGTTCGGGCGGGCCGGGACACGACCCAGCCGGCCCGCAGACAGGTGAGTGACACCCAGACACGGCGGCGGTCACGGCCGCCGGCTCCGCTATCACCAGTCCAAACACCCCACTCTATTTACCCCACACATCAGACTACTACCACCAATCGTCGGCCGCTGACTACTACCACCATCAGACTACTACCACCAATCGTCCGCCGCCGACACCGTGACGTGATTCATCCTCCGAAATCTGGACAACAAGTCGAGAGTTAACCAGAAGAATAACCCGTTCACCTCATCGTTACACCTCAGTGCCACGTCTGGACCCTGTCTCGCCAGACTACCACACCAGATGCCCTCCAGGCGGTGGTTACACCATGCTGAGATCACCGAACAGTGTAACACGGGGCCGGAGAGGTGACGAGGCCCAGTAATAACCCGAGATCATC